TATTAAAACATTCATAACTTACAAAACAGTTTTAGAAAAATACTGTGAAAAGATTAAGTGGTAGAAGTGCTGATTAGAATAGACCTCTGCTCAAGTTGCTGCTTAAAGCAGGACAATCAGTAACAGTGGATCAGGTCACTGACTTCAAATAGATACTCTACCATTTCTATGAGTAACCTCTTCCAGTGCTGCACTGCTCTTCTAATGAAGAATATTTTGTAATGAACAACTGAACCTTCTGAGGCATAATTTTGGGCCATAGTCCTTTCTTTGTCATCTGCTACTGCTGGGAAGAGTTTTATTACATCATCTTTGTAGCTCCAAGTAGTTGCAGACTCCTAGCAGATCTCCTTTGGCTCCTCTTCACCAAAATAAGCAAGCCCAGCTTCCTCAGCCTGGTCTATAGACCTGTAACCATCATAGTAGCACTGCCGTGAACCCTCTCCAGTTTCTCAACATCCTTCTTGAAGGGGAGGCGCAAAACATTATTCAAGGTGAGGGCTCACAAGCACTGAGTAAAGGTGGGTAATGACTCTCCTGGATCTGCTGACCACATTCCTCCTAATGTAGCCCAGTGCACTGTTTACATTAATCATGGTAAGAGAACTTTGTTAGTTTATAAACAACTCAGCAGTCACTGTAGCCTCCAGTTCCTTTTCAGCAGGCCTGAAACAGCAAGTTCCTTCCTTGGCTGTGCCGGTGCATTGACATTTTTCTCCTCAGGCATATAGTTTTGCACTTACTGTTGTTTCTGAAACAAAAACTGCAAAAAAAAAGGTTTCTTTTGCCTAATCTTCCAGTGTCTCATGGTGTTTCTGAATTGAAGTTCTACAAATCAGCACACGAGCAGCACCTCCTGATTTGGCATCATGAAAAATCTAGCAAGTGTACATCCTGTCTCCTCATATGGGCTGTTGATGAAAATACAGAACAGTATCTTCATAGCACTCCATTGATTACCATCCTCATTTCCAACCTCTAACTGGACATCAACCAGTTGACTCTACTCTTTGAACTTGGGAGTCTGAAAAATGTTCAGCCCCCCTACAGTCCTTTCATTGAGTACATACTTCATCTTATTATAAATGATGCTTTTGAAAGTAACTGTCAAAAGCCTAACTAAAGCAAAAATATATTGTGTTTGCTTCTCTCCCTTCATCTGCATGGCCAGTCATTTCGTCATAGTGAGCAACTAGATTGGTCAAGCATAATTTTCTCTTGGTAAATCCTTGTTGACTTTTCTTTATTATTGTCTTGTCCTTTACATGTTGGAAATTGATTCCCAGAGGACATACTCCACGATTTTTCCAAGGACTAAGGTGAGACCAGCTACTTCCTTCTCACTTTCTTTACTGTGGTTGTAAAATGAATCTTTATCCAGTCATCAGGGATGTCCTCTGATAGCAATGATTTTTCACTAATGATAGCCAGTGGTTTTGCAATCACATTGTCAGCTTTTTCAGTAACCATGGGTGTGTGCCATGTGGTCGCATGTATTTGAACCCATACTGCTTCCTCAGGCATTTGCTGACCTATTGCACCATCAGCCCCCCCCGCCCCTTAACCATCCCTCTCCTTCCTAAACTGTACACGCAGAGACCTGGGAGCAGACTTGGCCTAAAAAGCAAGAGGGAAAAGTGGTATTGAGTGCTGCAGCCTTTTCTGTATAATCTGTCATTATCTCAGCTAGTGAGCAATACACCTACATTTTCTTTGAACCTTCTTTTGCTGTTCTCATACTTGTAAAATTCCTTCTTGCTACCCTTTGAAGTCTTTGATTAATTTTAGCTCCAGCTGGGCTTTGTCCTTCCTAGTTTTGTTCCTGTGCCCAAACAATGGTTGTGTGCTTGTCCTTGATTTCCTGACATTGTTTCCACATATGTGCTCTCCATTTCCACCATTTCCATCTCCATATGTGCTTTTCCCATTTTAGTTCATTAAGAATCTCCTTACTCAGCCAAGTGGACCTTCTGCGTACCTTGTCCGTATGTGCTGCTTCCTCATGTATTTCTGAGTTAGGTCCCTGCTCTGTGACAGACAACTCCTCCCCACTAGATTAGCAAGTCTGTTCACAAATATGTTCTTCCCTTTCTTTGCCAGGTCAGCCTATTCTCTAAGTTGTCTTTCCTCATCAAGTTGGATGGCACAAGCAAAACCATGAAAGCTCAGCTAGTGCCACCAAGTATGTAAATATATGTGGTCTACTGGATATATCTGCTGCTATCCAAGTTTTTCATTTTTGCTGTAGGATTAAAGAAAAACACCACCAGGAATCCTCCCCCCTTCACACTTGCTCAGAAGCCCTGCAGTCACTTTTGAACTAAAATGGTTTCACATCACCATGTCATTCCTATATGCATGAATAAGCAGAAAGAAAATCATAACAGTAGATGACCCCACACAGCCTTTTGGCAACGCCGTAAGTTGAGGCTCCATGCAAGCAAGAAACCTCCCTCATTGGTGAGTTTGTCTGGAAGAGTCATCAACCACTCACTATCACTCATCACTTTCTCTTGATAGTGCTCTGATTGAGTGTCCAATCTGGAGTCTTCCTCTGAGGGAGCTTGTTCGTCCCCTCTGCTGTCTGGACCCAGCACTACTGGGCAGACCTCCTGCTGAGTGCCTGTCTTCTTCCCACTGTGTCTTGCCTCGGTTGCATCTTCCCTATCTGTGGCTTAGGCTTTTACACCTTGAAAGATCCTGTCAACCACCTGTTTGTCACCCCTGATGCAATAAAACACACTTGCCTCTTCTTGCAGCTCCTCACTTGCAGCTGTGGCAGCAAACAACAGAGCAAACATCCCTCTGGGGAGGTGATCCTCGGGGGTTCATCTGCCCAGAGGTTGCCACAGCACTGCTGGGGTTGTATCTTGTATCATGTCTTGTATCATGTCGTCCCCATCTGAGGTTTGTCTTCTTATGCAGACGGCCCATCTGGGTCTCTCATTTGTCAAATGGCAAGTTAACCGCCTTGCTCATTTGCACGTCCTGCTGGCAGTGCTCATTGGTGTCCTTACTGAGGGTGCTAGGTAAGTAAGGAATTCCAAGTGCAGTGACTCAGCCTTGTGCAAGATTTCCCACCTGACAGGAAAACTCCTGCACTGTCAATGAGTTCCCAGCCACTCATTGTGAGGGCTGAGTCTGCTGAATGGTTCCGCTGCCCATGCTGGGTACTAACAAGGTGAAGAACGGTGGAAGCCTCACTTCCCAAATGAAGAGGTACTGTTGTACAGTTGAAAAGGTTCATTTCAGAACCTGCCCAAGTGGAAAGAGCTGACCAAAAGCATTTTTAAATCGATTTACTGCAGTTCTGATCCATGAATAAGAAAAAATAGTCCTGGAAACGTAGAACTATTTATTGCCAGAAGTTAAATTTGCTTATTCACTTGTAGGTAACAATCTGGGTTTAAATTACTGGCTGATGACTTTAGAATGTGATTATGTTATTTGATAGTAAGAATACTCAAGTATTGCTGCCTTTCCCCTATCTTACAGCTGTATTTGCAGTACACTGACAATTTAAAATTATGGTAGATCATTTCTTGCAATCACTAGCTGTATGTACTAGGAAAAGGTCTTCTGAAGGGACATCACTTGAATAGAAACAGCAATGCTGATAGACCTGTACAGGCTGTGACAGAACCAAAGACTTTGAAAGAGATTCATCTTTCAGCAACTATAAATTGGCAATAGAAAATCAATCCCACGAGGTTTAAGTGGTGAAACTATAAGGCTGAGTAAAGTAAGGTGAAGGTATATTAATGTAAGGAAACAGCAAAGGGAAATGTTTCATGTCTGTAGATTGGAAGTGTGAGGAAAAACTGTGCAGGGAAAAAGTGATATTGGTAGATTTTCAAAAATGCTGCTGTAAAATTTATTTTTGTTTGTCAATTCCTTTTGGATAGCACAAAGTTTCCTTTGGTTGGCTTCTACCTTTAAACCATGATTGATTCATTTGAAACTTAATTCACACTGTAATGTTCAGCAATCTCCATCAAACAAGAGTATGATAGAACTGCAGAACTCCTAAGAAAAACAGGAGGCTAAAAAGTTGGTTTGCCCCTATATACTTGAATTCAATTGCATACTTAAACAAAAAACTGCCTAATTCTGTGTTTGACTAAGCTTTGAAGGCTTTTTTTCTAAAGGAATGGTGAATTTTCTGTGCAGTACAGTCTTAAAAGTCAAGACTGGATGCATTTGTAAATAGCAAAGAAAGGAGTTCCCTGATAAATTCTTAGCTGAGGTAGTTCCCATTGCTTATATAGGGCATGTGGCTAGATAATAATACTTCTCCTGGGCCTTAAAATCAATAATAATTTATTATTCATACTTCAAATTACTCTTGATGCATATTTATTAAATGTAACTTAATAATTTAGAATAACTGCTTTCTAGTATGCAAGTTGAAAATTGTTTTCACCTAAACATTATGTAAATCATTGTGTGGAACTGCAATTGCATGGGCAGGTTTTTTATGCAGATGGAGCATGATGTGTTACACACATAAACAACCCAAAATATATGGCAGTAATGCATCCTTGAGGTATAGTAAAGTTCTGATGAAATACATGCCTTGAAATTTAAAAAAAAATAATATTTTTTCTGAGGTTTCAAATAAATTGTTGTGGAAATAACTCCACCAGAAAAGAGAATTTTCTCATTTGGTGAGTTTTTTTCAGCCGTTGTTGTGTACTGTGTTTGCACAATCAAAACCAGGTATGTAATCTGTAAAAGAAATATTAATTGTTAAACTTTTTTGGATCATTTACATTTAGGAGGCAAAAGGGTAGTATTAATAAACCACAAATGACATTTATGCCATGAATTTATTTTGATAAATACAGATGGAAGATTATTCTCTTTATTTCCAAACTTTTCTCAAGAAAAACAGAATAGGAAAAATTAGGAGATGTCTAAACGTGTCAAGTCTTAGCTTCCCAACTTTACTGTCTATCATAAATAGGTGGGTTTTAATGCTGATAACCTCTTAATTGCAGGAGGAGGAATTGGAGGCCCAGATTTCATTTCTACAAGGACAACTAAACGACTTGGAAGCCATGTGCAAATATTGTGCAAAGATGATGAACACGCACCTTGGTAAGTGCAGTACCCTGTACCTGTAAATCTTTGCACAGGCTCTTTTCATGTTTGTATTAGAACTAAAATAGTATTTATGTAGTGCAGTGCATATTGTTCTATAAGCTATGAAGAAGACTGAACTGATGGTACCCAGTTGTCGTGTCAGATGCTGCCAACCATGGTATCTTTATACTGTCATATTTTGAAGCTTGGGATTGTGATGCCCACTGATGATGCTAAAAAAAATCCAAAGTCATTTTGGCACAGATGCCCTTTGTCTGTTCCTAAGATTTCTTGTATTATAAGAGACATGCTGGAGCTCACAGCATGTGAGCTTACACTTTTTAAGCCTTTTTGCAGTTCATCAGTCCCAGAATTGATACCTGATGCACATGCAGTGACAGTTGTATAAAATTCATATGCTTTCCAGTTTGTAAAATTGTGTTGCTATAGGCTGACTAGCTTCTAGTATTTTGCTCGTATCAGGAAAGTATAGTAAGGTAGAATTCCATACATTGGAAATGGAATCAGCACACACAACCTGCAGTCTAAAATTCAACTTAAATATTGCCAAATCAAAGAAAATAAACCAAGAAGCCTCAGTCAGTTCACGTGTGAACATGCTTACCTACGCTTTATTAAAAGCAGCATTTTTAAACTCCGTTGAATTGAACTCCAAAGTTTGTATATTTAGTTATATGAAAAAACACCATTGCTGAGAAATCAGGGCACAAGTGCAATAATTTTGAGGTATATTTATAGCCTGCAACATCTAAGCAAAATAAATTAAAGTTGAATATTTCAGTGGGTAAAGCAAGATAAGATACCTAAGTTTGCCAGGTCAAAAAGATCAGATGTGAAAGCCATACTATTCTTGAATTTTCTTTTATGTCTTTTAGTAGCTAGTGTTGTGAGCCTAGGAAAAGCTGTGACTATGGTGTTATTTGAATATTGGAATCACAGCCTTCAAAAGCCAAGTGTAAACTCTAACCACAACAGCTTTAGTTTGGTATATTGTATTGCTTCTGCGAGGGTACATGAGCCATGGTGAGACTAGAAGCAAGCAAACGGAATGAATTTTTAGCTACTGAAATGATGGGGACAAGATTAGTATGTCAAGGAAAAAAGCTGAAGTTTTTTCATTTAGTAAAGAAGACAAGGGAGTGTTTAGCAGAGGTATCAGTTCAAGTAAATGCATTTCACCAGCTGTGGCTCTAGACTGGAGAGCAGAATAAACCCAGACAAAGATAATTGAACTGGTCTGCCTCACTGTGCTGGACCTGTGACATGAAAGCAGAAGATTGGTGATGATATCAGGATGTTAAATGTATTTTCCCAAATATATTAGAAACAAAAACATGTAGGGCCAGCATTCGCCCAAGGGCATCATGGAGCTGTTTGTGACCCTTACAGGACAAGGAGGGACATCTTCTATGCAGCTTTGACTGCGGGGTTGCACTGGGTGCATCGTGGCACCCCCACAGTGCTCTCAGAGCCTTCCAGCCTAGTTTTGTCTAAGTCCCACTCCCTGTACTTCTTAACAATATCCTTGCTTGTCTTGTCAACATCAAGGGCTATTAACTTTGTAAATTTGGGTTACACTAATGCTTTTAAATCCTATAGAGATTAACAGATATGCACGATAAACAGAGCAAAAGAGAGACTGAGATAGCACCAACCTTCACAGCTTCTGTGCTTGTAGGAAACTGATGAGTTTAAGTATCCCTAAATCAGCCAGCAGATGTCCATGGGAAGGTAGGAAAAAACCCACAAGGATTCTTGCTAGTCTGAGCTGTTTAAAATCCCTTCTGTCCTGAAATCTGTCCATCACATTCATCCTGGGGATCTGAGTTGTACATGCCTAAGAAAATGGATTCTCTATAGCATCACAGAACACACCCTGAGGATTATCCCCAGTGTCTGTCCTACTGCTCGGGGCTTCAAGGATGGCAGCAAAATGAAATGCAGAGCACACCTGTCATTTCTGGGTTAAGGGAAAAGTTAGCAGAGGCTGCTACTGCTTCTGGTCTGATTCTCCCCCAGGTATCTCTTACTCATGAAAATTGCTTCATTTCAGACACAACAGAGCAGATAATGATGAGTTATATCACTCCTCTTGTAACCTGTCAGGACACTTAACTTCAAGGATATTACTTCTTCCTGTGAGGCTGAATTTTTCTGGCTTCATCACCTAGCTTTTGGCTCTTACAGTGTTCTTAACAGCAAGTTTGAAAATCCTCATTCAACTTACCTGTACACAGGGATTAAGTAATCTCTCAACACTGTCTTTACTAGGTAGAACACTCTCAGATTAGTTTTATAGGGCTTGCTTTTTAGACCAAATAATTTTTGTGGCCTTTCTTTGAATTCTTCAGGGTTTTCATATGCCTTTTGAAGTGAGCTAATCACTTAAGTATGTGCTGTACCAGCACTGGGCTCAGCAAAGTGGTTACTTAGCAAAGGAAAGGTCATCTCTCTACTCCCATGTGGCATTCCTCTTTTTAAGCATTTACAGTGTGGCATCACAGTGCTCTTTGATACAGTTGTATGTTGAGGTGATGAGCCATTATGACCTTTAAAATTTGGTCAATCACAGCTTTCTAAACACAGCATTTTATCCTGTAGGTAAAATCAGTAAATGTTTATTTCCATTTCCATGTGTCCTCTGCATTTGCTTATATTAAAATTCACTTCTTGTCATTTGGCCTTTTAGCTGAATAAATCAGATAACTCTGCAATGTACTTTGTTTTCTTCTACCACTTTAACTGCAGACTTAGCCATCATACATTTAATAGTTGTCTAAATTATTGATAAAAGCATATGGATATGTAAAATTTCAGAAGCCTTCCAGACCTAATGCCTTTAACAAAGAGTTAGACAACCTTTTGAAGACTTGTCAATTAACCATTTTTAGTCTAAGGCCTGCCTTTTAAATTTGGTAGTTTAAGATTCTTATTTTTTTAAAAAAATGTTTTTTTAGATTGGCATTTTGAACAGGTTTTTCAGACACTGTTACTCAACCAGTACTATTTTTCCCTGTATTGACTGCATTATTATAGAATCATAGAGTGGTTAAGGTTAGAAGGGACCTTAAAGATCATCAGGTTCCAAACACCCTGCTATGAGCAGTGTCTCCCACTGGACCAAGTTGCACAAAGCCTCATCCAACCTGGCCTGAAACACCTCCAGGGAGGGGCTTCCGCAGCCTCCCCAGGCAACCTGTTCTAGCACTTTATTACCTTCACAGTGAAGAATTTGTTCCTGATGTCCAACGTGAATCTACCCTCTTTCAGTTTAAAACCATTACCCCTTGTCCTGCTTCTGCCTTCTCTGGTGAAAAGTCCCTCTCCAGCTTTCCTGTAGCGCATTCAGGAGCTGAAAGGCTGCTACTAGGTCTTCCCAAGACTTCTC